CCACCCCCCAAAAATCACCAATATTTTTTGTTTAAAAAATAAAAATTGTAAATGTTTAAGGTGTACAACATGATATTTTGATATACATATATAATGTAAAATGATTATTACAGTCAAGCTACTTGCTATATCTAACATTCTTGTTTTCACTAAAAAACATTGCAGTTTTCAAAATAGCATTCCTCAACTTGCCATAGAGTCAAAACCTTCCTTTGGTTTAAGTTATGAGTATTTTCTTCTTTCACACTTTGTTCTGGAAATAAAGAAACAACTGATTTTAAATCTAAAGCAATTTATAACTATTTTATCAAGAATTAAAAAGTCTTTTAAAGTGTTTTAAAATTTGTTGTTCATGTTATTACAGTTGTTCCCAATTTTTGTCTCTTTTCCCACCTCCATCCATCCCCGCTGTCTCCCCTCCCTCAGTCTATCTGGATATTGTTATCTGTGTCCATGGATCATGCATACATTTATTTGGTAAAAAGTCTTTTCAAGATAATTGCAGCATGTTTTATTTTAAAAAATCACTTGCAAAGGGGGAGGGATTTGGAGGAACAAATAGGAAGGACACAGGGACAAGAACTAAGGGGGGTGGAAATGGGAGGGAGGTGGGGAGCAAGGGGCAGGGGAGGCTGGGATGGGAAAAATAGACAAAAAAGTGTACTTGAAAAATAACTAAATAAAATTAAAAAAATAAAAATAAAAATAAAAAATCACTTGCAACCAAAAGGCATTTGGTAATTGTTAAAGTGAATTATATTCTCCTTATTAGCATGTGTAGCTCTATATCAAGAATGAGCCTCAACAAACCACAGAGGCATCTTGGTACATTCAGTGGGAATTAATGCAATGCAATGCCTGATTACATTAGTAAACACATGATGATTTTTTTTCAAAAAATAACTTCAAATGTTATGTTAAAAACTTAACATAGAGGTACATATATACAATGAAATATTATTCAGCCATAAAATAATGTAATAATTATGTTAAGGATCTCAAGATCTAATTATCCTGGATTTAGGGTGGGTCCTCTGTCCAAAAGCAGGTCTCATAAGAGAAAAACAGAGGGAGAATTGTGGCACAGACATACAGACAGGAAGGCCATGAGAAGATGGAGGTAAAGGTGGAGATTGGAGGGATACTTTAACAAGCCACAGAACACCATGAATTGCTGGGTAGCTACCAAAAGGCAGAAGAAAGGCCTGAAATATATTCTTCCTCAAAGCTTCCCAAAGGAACCAACTCTTCTGACAGCTTGATTTCAGACTTCTAGCCCCAATAACTGTGAGAGAATAAATTTCTTTTGTTGTAAAGTCACCCAGTTTGTGTTACATTTGCCTTGGGAAAGTACCATGCAACCTTATTTTTAAAGTGGACAAAAGATCTGAACAAGTATCTCACAATACAAGATATACAGTTGGCAAATAGGCATATGAAAGGATGCACAACATAATTTTGCATAAAGGAAATACAAGTTAAAACAGCAATTAATTACCAATACACCTATTGAAAAGGCTAAAATATCAGTTGCTAGCAAGGAAGCAGCTGGATCTCTCACATATTGATGTTGAAAATACAAAATGGTGCAGCCATTTGGAAACAGTTGGCGGTTTCTCATAAAATTAAACATAATCTTATCATCCAATCCAGAAACAGTGCTTCTAGATATTTATTCAAATGATTTGAAAACTTATGTCAATACACATAACTGCACATAAATGCTTATAGCAGAATTATTAATCACCCAAATCTAGGATGCCTTTAACAGATGAGGGTGCAGTGAAGGGTTACCTACACTTAACAGTAGTGTCCAGTGCTCCCTGAGCTGACATCAGGAGCAGGGCTCTGTGTGGGGCAGTCTGTTCCTGGGTGGGCAGTTCCCCCAGACTTTCCTCACGTTCCTCATCTTTATTTCTGTTAGGGTCTGGGATCCTTCTCTCTTCTGGCTTGTGGTTGACACTCTGGTATAATGACATCACATACCATTGAAAGCTAACAACATTTACTGCAGATTATGTGAAAACATTGATAGAAGTTGATGCATAATTAAAAAATTAATTAAACTAAGTTAGACTTACTACAATAATAAAGAACTTTGAACATCACATATCACTGTCAGCTCCAGTCAATTTAACAAGGAATTGCACTATCTGTGCGAATCTCTCCACCCATTGTGTAAAATTCTTCCTCACCTGAGGCCAGCACTCTAGTTCAGATAGTATCTGGTGGCAACATGACCACAAGATATCTGCCCAATGGCTACAAAGAACTCAGGAACTAAAGGCCACATCTAAGGTGGGGGTAGCATCTACATCATTTTTTAATGACCTAATCCCAATTTCAGTGCTGGAATCCATACACAGGAGAAGAAATCACCTTCTCCATCAGCCATCAAGACAGCTACATTGTCCTGCTACATTGGCAAGAACACATGAAACTCCCAGATTAGTGAAGAGATGTACCTCTCCCCAAGTCTATCAGTAACATCACTTGGTGGGTGACATAGGGGAGCCAGCTATCCTTTGCCTTATATTAGGCAGGAGAATTCAAAGGTAGGAAGGGGTTTCAGGCATATCGCTGGTCCTTTCGAACAATGGATCTGCCCAATCACATTGCTCTGCAACTTTAGGCTGGTGATAATGGTTCATAGATTCCCCAGGCCTTTTCCTGGAAGGTATCCAGGACCCTCTAAGATCCCACAGGTTCTCTTTTTCTGTTCCTTTTTCCACTATAGGCTGTACTTTAAATTCAGACCCCTGACTGGTAGCCTGCTCAGGGCTATCAGGATTTGTTTCAGTATGAAGTTTCCCTCACAGACTCTGGAAATGTCTTTACTACCCAGGCCTCCTGATGTTTCTCACTAACTGAGGGTGTCCTATCTAGACAATTCTCTGGGAGCTAGTCTTTCTGGCCAAATCCTGCCTCCTAATGCAAATGAAAAAATTTATGTTGACAATGAATTTTAAAACACCAACCCGGAGTTACCCCAGTAATCAAGATATCTTGCAAAAAATCTCACTTTGTATGGATGAAAAAATAATGAGAAATTAATTTTAAGTAATATCATTTAAAAGCATGTAAACACAAAATTACAAAATATATGTTTTCACATGAAATATTGATGAACACTTAAAATTGATAAAATGCCAGTGTTTCCTTTGGATATTCTCATATACTAAAAAGTGAGATGATAACTTGACACAGCATTATGAAAACAGAATATCAGCAACATTTGAAAAATTTATGATCATCATGCTATTTCCACTTTAACCCAATGTTCACTTCTGGATTGTTACAATAAGGAAACATCCACATTTTCCCAGTAATTTATATTTCATGATGTTGATATAAGTCCTATTAGTTACAGCAAAAAATGGAAGACAACTTATGCATCCATCAGGTTAAATTACTTAGGGCATATAGACTTTAGAATACTTGGGAGTAATTAAAAGGGTGAGATGGATCCACATGCACTCGCATGGAAAGAGCTTACATTTGCCTCATTAAGGATAGGGCAAGAGGCAAAACAATATGTACATCATCATCCGTGGACATTCAAAAAACTCACATTGTGTTTTTCTACTATATTTATATAAAAAACCCAGAGTATATTTTCACTTAATATATACAATATTTTAATGCTATGGTCACTTCTATTACTTAATATTAAAATATTTAATTATTTCTAAAATAAATGTTATGGTTAATTCTAAAAAGGGCTGAATTTTAGAGGATAAAAATTAGATTAGTGATTTAAAAGTATTTTTTTAGAGTTTTTAGTGTCAAGATCATATGAACTATTTGTTGTAATTAGTGTAAGTAAAACTAACAACAGTTTCTTACACCACCTAAAAGTGGTGTAAGAAAGTATGAATGCTGGAATGGATGGGCTATGCCTCTCCCGGCCCAGGGCAGAGTGCCAACATAGTGGCTTCAGAGCATCCCATCTCAGTGTCACCCTATTTCTCAGACACTCAGATTTACACAAATCACCTAGTTTGTGGACTTTGTTCTCCAGCACTGGACAAGAACACAGGACTTCTTCCATTTCTGTTCCAGGTGAATATTTGTCTCTGCTTTATCTATGATCTTAAAATCTATACAAGAAGCAGTTTCCTATTCCAGGCTTCAGTCTCTCCACCGGAGACACATTTTCTGAGGTTTGGCACCTGCCCACCACTCAAACACATCTGACCCACCACCCAGTTTAATTAAAACTACATCACACCAAAGGACTCACAGTTCCCCAAGGCCACAACCCCCCTTTTCCAAGCCTTTATAATTGATGGTTCACACCTAAACCCCACAAGTCCTCCCACCATCTTTTGATTTGTTCTTCTGGTCACAGGAAGTGTCTTAAATATTCCTCACAGCTACTCCAAGACTTTACAATTCTATTGGCAGGGATGGTTCCTGTACACCTTCACATTCTCAGTACTAACACAGACTTTACAAAGAGTAAAAGGTCAATTATTATTGGAGAAAAAACTGGGTCACTGAGAAAGAGGTCTAAATTATTACAATTTAATTTTTCTCACATTCTTGAACAAGCTACATATATTCATACACACATACAAGGAAAACAGACTAAAACTTATAAATGAAATAAAAATTAGTAGCTTTATTTCTTCATTTCTTAACTCCATCTATTACACTGCTGAGTTGTTTCACATTTCTATGGAAATGCCTCTTCTACTGCCATATTGTCTTGCTCCATATCACTAAGCAAGGTGACATTTTTTCCAATTTGTTTTACAAAATAATAAGACTCTTACTCTTAAATCTCATTCAAAGCAATAAATGTTTGAGCATATCCTGCATAAGTTTGGGTTATAAAGCTACTAAAATCTTCAATTAAAAGGAAAAATGCTTTTAAAATTATCTAAGTTACTATACAGAGCAGAAACAAATATGTTACATACCACCCCAACTTTGTACTCCTGAGAAGGTAGACTTCTCTTTTTAACAACAAAGAGAAGAATCTGCCTCAAACTTTATTAGGGGTGAGAGGAGCTGCTTTCCTTGGCTCTGGAGCGTTCCCTGGCCATGGCAGCACGATGAGCCCTGGCTGCAGCTCGGGCTTGGGCTCTCTCTTCCTCATCTTTCAAAGCCTCTTCATAAAGGAATGGGAAGGTAGTGGGGTCAGTACCATGGACCTTGGCCAAAAACTCCAGCACTTTCATCTTGGTAGTTTCAATGTGGGCTCTTGGACCCCACAGGAACTCATGGTGTGAAGGATCACTGTGGGGCACTTGGCGGTACAGCAGGTAATTTTCTTTCACCAAATCTGTGATGAGCTTCTTGGGCTCCCCAAAAAGGAAGTGCCTCCTCCCCTGATACAGCCCCATCACATTCAATGTTTCCCAGACTTGCTCATCAGTGGCACAATTGCGATTTATGTAGATCACACTCAGGATAGTCATCAGCAGACCAGTCTTGGGCACACCTCTGTCATCATTCAGCACTGTGTCACAGCATGGTTCCAGTTTGTTGACGAGTATATATACATGCCGGTAGGGATCCAATTCTTTCATGTCTAGGCCAAAGACCATCTCCATATAATCAGAGGCTCTCTTGAGGATCTCAAAGAAATGATTTCTGTATGTTTGGATTACATTTCTCACCATCTCTCCCTTCGTGATGGGCTCTTTGATTTGATACTTGTACAGCAGATAATACACTAAGAGAATTACCTTCTCATTTAGACGGCGTCTGTGGAGGGACTCCATGGTGGGCAAGGCCTGGGAGGATCTTGACCTTTGTTCCACCTGGTAGCTGGCACCTTCATTTGATCTTGTTGTGGCTTGAGCACCTACTAGATTCTGGGGCTCTTGTCTGGCCTGGTGGCGTTTTTCAAGGGCGCAAACTTTACACTTCCAACCCCGAGGCATGATGACTTTCAACAAGAGACGCAGGTTAGTGGGCAGATGACTCAGTGATCTGAAAAAGAGAGGATGAGATATGGGGGTCACTTCAACAGGGAGATAAAACCTTAGCTTTATTGATGGCCACCTCTGCAGTATTCCTTGAGGGAACTGCTCTGGGGAACCTAGAGGCTACTATTCCCTGATTTGCCACTGCCCTGAGGACCCCATGGAAATAGCCAAGGTGTGCCTCAGCTCCTACCTACCAGATCTGCTTGGGACTCACTGGTGCTTATAGCAATGGCTCTGTTCTCAGTTAGGGAATATTTAAATTCACATTAAGGGTCACCCCTTCACTTTTGGCAGGACCTAAGTTCTCTGTGCTCTACTGTTCTGATGTTGATCCCTCATTTCAAGGCTCTCATCACTCTGAGACTCCACAGGAGGAACTGAGGAGAACTTCATCTTATCACACCTGCCCAGGGATGCACAGGGAAGAAAGTACACACAAAGCTCTGTGGGACATTCTCTACCCTGGTATGCACAGGGAGCTCAGTCCTCACTTAGTGCCTTCATTTTTACTTTGTGTAGGGCCCTCTGCTGATTTAAGACCTATGCCCTCCAATCCCTGAATGTCTAGAGAAGGAAGTGAAGGAGGCCTCAGTCTAACATATTTGCCTGACTGCATTTATCACCAGCATGGAGGGATCTTCAGGGCTGATGGCTTGGATAAGACTCTCTGTGACTCCCCACTGTTCTGAGATGGGTGATATACCCTCAGTCCTCACTCAGGGTCTTCATATTGAGTGCTAGAAATGTTTGGGTTCCCTCCTTTTAACGACAATGAGTCTGCCCTCTTAGACTAGACTTCACCTTCCTGAGACTGCCCAAGGGCAATATGAGAGGGTGGCTCAGCCTCACACTCTTAACCGAGGAGTCCCAGAGCTCACAGCAGTGGTGGGGTTTTGTGAGGTCACATTTGTTGGGAGTGGGTGTTTCCCTGTGTGTCAGCGCCTGACACCATCATCCCCCCATTCAAAGGTATTCACAGCCACCGAGACACCAGAAACAGAAGTCAGTGTGGCTTACATCAATCCAACCTAATCTGTGATCTCTCGGACTGAAAATATGGGCGGGGTGCCATGGGGCCACATCTGTCCCTCAAACCTCACTCAGGGTTCTTGTTGTACACACGCTAGGGCCTGGGACCTGTTGCTCCTCTAGTGTGAAGCTGATGTCCTGGTCCAGTGCCCTCACCCTGCTCAGTTCCCTCAAGGGAAATTTTAAACATTCTTGGAGGCTGTCCTGTCAGAGGATTACTATCTGGGTCCCATCAGGGCTGATAGCAGGGGCAGAACTCTCTGGAAACCACTTTAAACTAAATTAGGGTCTTTACCTTAATTCAAAGCACAGCCTGAAGCTCCTCCGTCTCTTAAGGTGACGCTCTCCTCCTCACGGAAAGGCTGTGGCTTGTCTTAGAAACCAGGAACAGAACTCGTGATGCGTCACATCCTTAAACCGCCGCTTGGTGCTTCCCATGGCGGACAGCAAAGTTCCGGCACTGCGAGTCCCTTGAGAGCAGGTGCATGATGTTCTGGCAGCCTCTCGTGGCTGGGACAGATACTACCTCCATACCTAACTCAGGAAATTCACTTTAACTCCAGGCAGAGACCAGAGCTCCTCTCTCATTGTACATCACACCACTCCTCTCAGACCAATGCTTTTCCTGGGAGTCTAATATCTCAGAACACCAGTTCCTACACCTTTGCCTGGGCTTTGTCACTTTTGACACAGGAGCAGGGTTCAGTGAGGTCGACTTTGGTCTCAGGGTGGAGAATTCCCTTAGAACTGACATAGGGACTTCTGCCCTATCTGGGCTGATCCTGGTTTTCCTCCCTTTGGTTAACTAGCCTTAAACCAAGGTCCTCCCCATATTATTCTCCAGTTTCCAGGGGGTAAAATGAAGGGGCATATGAGCCTCACAGCCATACTGGGGTCTCCCAGACTTATAGCAGGGGCAGGTCACTGTGCTTTCCATCTGTTCTGTGGTGGGTAGTTCCCTCAGAATTCACACACAGCCCTTTACTCATGTTAATGCCTGGGATCCCATTTTCCATGCACCTGCGCCTAACATCCAGGTCCAAAACCTTCAATTCTAACTCTTCAGAGGAGAAATTCAGAGGTCATTACTGCTGGTAATACCTACATAGAGCCTACCAGGACTAAAAGCAGGGACTAGACTCTGTAGGGTTCATAAGCTTCTGTGGTGGGGGTCCCTCAGACTCAATCAAGGACCTTACCTAAGCTCCTGGCTCCCTCTGATGTTACCTAGATTCTTCACCTTTATCTCTGTTTGGGCCTGAGATTCCTCCATCTGCTTATGGAATCTGACAGACTGGTCATTGTCCTTACTTTAAAGTTTTAGATTTTACTATATTTATTATAGATACTGTGATGACCTTGTGAATGGTTAGCACAGAATCTAATTTTTAAATTCTAATTCAGTCAAGTTGGAGTTTTACATTAAAAAATAGAGCTGAATTCCACCTATTTCTGTTACCCAACCCCCTTCAAGGCAATTTAACAAGGAGCTACACTTAACACAATGGTTCTCCATTCACCCTGCAAGTGTTTGCATTGTAGGCCAGCCCCTTATTCCAGTCAGTATTTGGTAGCAATACGGACCACCAAACACAAGGTACATCTACCCTCTGCTATGCAAAGAAGACAGGAACCATGGCAGGCAATATGAGCAGGGATAACATCTGAACTGTTTTTCAAGGCATGTTCACATTTAACCCTTTATTGCCACAGTCACTGAGGTAATATTCCTTAGGGATTTCCCCCTCCAATTTTCCCCTCTGTGTAGCTGCACACCCCTTTCCACTATTTACTGGTAATACTTGCCCTATTTTAACTCTCCCAAATCACCAACAAATCCCACCCATTTGCACAGACTCAACCTTAGTGGCAGGAGTACCACAGAGACAGGGGGAAAAATAGCCTTCTCTACTTGGCATCAAGATAGCTCTCAGCCCTGCTACACTCGCAAGGATGCCTGGAAATCCCAGAGTAATGAAAAGATGTAGCTCTCCCTAATTCCGTCAATAACATCACTTGGTGGGTGACACAGGGGAGCCAGGTATCCTTTGCCTGACAGTAGGCAGAGAATGTTCTAAGGTAGGAAGGAGTATTAAGCCTGCCTCTGGTCTTGGCATTGAATAAATCTGCCTATGCAGATCACTTTAGAACTTGATGCTGGTAATGATGATTCAGAGATTCTCTAGCTTATGCATGTAAGTTGTCTGATACACTCTGCCAGATTCTCCATCTTTTTTCCTTCTGGTACTTTTGTTTGCCTTTTGATGAAGTCTGCATACAGATCCCTGACTTCCAGCTGTCCTGGGCCCTGTGGACTTGTTTTAATACATGATCTATCTAGAAATTGCTCTCCTTCTCCCCACCCCATATAACCCACTCTGATCTTCCTAGTGTTACTCAGTTACTGATATTTTCCTGCCCAGGCTCATTTCCTGGCACCTGGTCATTCTTACAAAACCTTGCTTCTCAAATTGTTGTGAAAACTTAAATACCTATCAAGAATTTTTAAAGCATGAGCCCAGAGATATCCTGGTAATAAGATACCAATGTAGAAATCCTATTTCATATGAGTGAGGGAGTATGTTAATTTTTTGCTCAACCTGATTATAAAAGAGGGAAATACAAATTAAAGCTGAGACAATATAATTGCAGCAAAAATGTTCCTCCAAATTTAAAATTGATAAAATTAAATATCTGTAAGAATATTGGTTATTCATGTAAATTAATTTGTGAGAATTATAGGAATACAATTTCAGAAATGTTAAAAATATTTACAATCACCAAGTTATTTCCACTTTAATCCAATTTATACATTATTTAACCTTTCCTATAAGAAAACTTCCACATTTGTGCAACAACCATGTTCAATGATGCTGTTATCAGTTCTGTTAAATGTAGCAAGAAATGAGGAACAGCTTATGTGTACATCAGGAAGAGAATGGGTACATCATTTATGGCACATGCCCCTTAGAATTCTAGGGAGTAGTTAAAAGATTGAGGTGGATCTATATGTACTCTCACAGAAAGATCCTGCATTAATTTTATTCAATAACAAGGGCAAGAGTCGGAACATGATATACACCATTACACATGTATCTTAAAAACTCACAGTGTCTTTTTCCCTTTTTAAAATTCTGCCCTACCAGTTTGGACAAGTTCTCTGCGTTTCAATTTTCTCATCTGAAAAAAAAAAAAGGACTGTCCTTACTTAGTAGGATGTCAGAAAAGGATTAGAAAAGATAGGTCAAAGAAAAGGTTGTGGCATTCAGTAAACACTCACTACAAGAAGGGCAAAAGTAGGTCTACATTGTTCATATGGAAAAAGACATGCAAATTATGATTATTAGAGTAGATTTATTAACTCTGTGTTTAGTATACTCACAACTGTAAACCTACTTTTACTCACCCCTGTACATGAATTTATTTTGATGATTACATTACAGGAAGATGTTTATATTTATGTTATGAGTATCATGCTTCTCAGGTCCACCACTGTGGTTCATGTGCTATAGTGAGTGAAGCTTTGTTTTGGCCTCTCAACCGAGCATTCCTTCTCTAAAATCTGACCCTAAGCCTTCCTCCTTCAATACCTCAGTTCATATCCGTTGAAAACCTGCATATATACTGTGTTGGGGAGAGTGGATATGGAGAAGAACAGAGAGATGCCAACATGAACCCCCAACAACTTCTGATGAGGTAGGAGCCATAAAACCTATTATTCACAAGTGAGGTACAGTGCAGAAGCAATACAGATAAAATGTATGGTAAGCTGGAGTGAGAATGGGGTTCCTATGCTACTGTGATACTCAGGAGTTGGTCTCAGTGCTCACTAGAGACATTTTGAAAGGAAGTTATCAATAGTGTATTCTTCTAGCACATATATTTAAGAAAAACTCTAGAATAAACTTAAAAATTATACATGCAAGATTTTTAGTTGTGGTTTATTCTAATATGGCCTAATTTTACAGAACCATAGAAAGGAGGCAGGAGTGTGATTAGTTCACATTTTTAGATTTTTTTAGCATCAACAATATATGCTTTATTTCTATTGTAATTAGTTTATCTAAGTTAGAATACAACAGAAAGAGAAGCTGTGTGTTACTCAGATAAGTAACTGCTAGTCATTGTGATGGAAGAAGCCTGAAACCTGAATGACCTAACACTACAGAACTTTCTTTTCATGCACATTAAATCTCACACAGGTAGGCAGAATCTCTGTTGTCAAGTGGCCCAGGGATGAAGGCTACTCCCATCATGTGACTTTACATCTCAACACAGGATCTCAACAGTTGCTGCTGAATTGAATAGAAAGCAGAAAGTAGCACACCAACTTTCTCTAGTGCCCTGGTGGTCTAGAAAAAATAAACTTTGCTTCTGTTCATATTTCAGTGGCAATGGTTGTCACAAAACCCTTCTTAATGCAAGGGGACTGGAAAATATAGTGCCCAGGAGGAGAGCAAGGCACAGCTTACATGGACACTTACAGTCTCCCTATCAACAATCACAGAGTAGGTGCTCAGTAAAGTGCAACACTTACAATCTGCATACAAAAATCCTTTACATTCTTGGAGAAGTTTCTGAAAAGGCTCAAACTGCCTTGCAACACTCCAAATTTGTCTAGCACCTATTATGTGACCAGCATTTTCAAATATAGGATCACACCAATTTCTCTAAGGACACTGGAAATCTTAGCATGGAGGCATCACCCTTCTTCACTTCATAGCACCATTCTGCACTGACTTTTCCAACAACCTCTCTAATCCCAGTACACTGAGAATTCTCTTCTTCCTCTCTACAAGGTCAAAATCACAACTTGTGAGTCTCTGCTACCCACCACCTAGAGAAACTGCCTGAACGCTTGCACAGGTGCCTTTAGACACACTGAAAGGTCTGGATTTTCCCCCTGGAGCAGATACAGACAAGAGTCAGGAGAATGATGGTAAATTATTATTATTTTTCTTATCAAAGCTGGCATGTCTGCCAGGGACACATTTTCTACCTTGGTGGTAGCCTGAATAATAGCTCCATGAAGATGCACATGTATTTTCCCTGAAACCTGTGATTATGTTACATTACATGGCCAAAGACACTTTGTAGACACATAAGGGAATGAAACCAACTTCACAGTAGACATTGGATTATCTGGGTGGGCCCAATGTAATCACATGAACCCTTATAAGCAGAGGACTTTCTCTTGGAGGCAAAAGAGAGATGAAGCAGAGGGGAAGGGTAGAGGGATTCCACACGTGAGAAGGCTCCAATATTTCATTGCTGTGTCAAAATATATGGCCCAACATAAAGACTGGAGAGAGACCAGGCCAAGCAATGTCAACTGCAGGAGACAGTCAGGGAATAGAGCCTCAGTCCCACTACCACAAGGAATTGAATTCTGCCACAACCGGAAAGATCTGGGAAGGAGATTCTTCCCAGAGCTCATGATGAGAAGCCCAGCAGCTGAAAGCTGGACTTGGGCCTGTGAAAATCTAAGCACAGAATCTAGCAGAGCCACCCCAACCTTTATCCCTACAGAAATATGATTATACCCACTGATACAATAAACATGTGCTGCTCTAAACCACTAAATTTGTGATAATTTGTTACAGTAGCCAGAAAAAAAGTACTATAAGTTTATGAGAAGCCTACGGGGTCTGTGAGACTCCAACCTCTGGCAATATTTGCTTCATAGTGGAGTTTGTTCCATGGTGGATTCCTCGGGCCTTCCCCATCTGCCTCTTAGGAGCAAGGCTTTGGTTCTTGGCCACTTAGTTAAGCCCCCTCATCTGGGTATATATTTAGTGGCCTGCTCAGTCAATTAAGACACTCCACTAAAATTCTACTGCAGGGAAGATAGTCAATAATATTATAATAACTATGTATCATTCCAAGATGACTGGAGAGATGTGGTGGGGATGTTTTGGAAAGTTTAGGATCCTCTAACTACTATGCTGCACACCTGGAACCAATACAAAGTAATATTGAATCTAAACTGTAATTGAAAAAATAAAAGTAAAAATGTTTTAAAATTCTACTGCAATTATCATGGATATTTTAAAATGTCCTCCCTAGGTCTGGTTTATAAACCAAGGCTCTGCAGGTTTCCTGCCAAATCAGTCTACCAATCAGCAGATTTGGCAAAAACAAACATTAAGAGTTTGGTAGAGGCAGTCAGGGGTGGCAATGAAGGAGTTGTCTAAACTTCACCATCTGAAATGAGTCACTGTGTGGAAGGGGCTGCTGCTATCATAGGGGCCCACCGTGAAGGCCAGGATCTGCAAGGATTTGGGATGCTCTAGGTCAAGAGGGCAGGGGTTATGGGATATGCATTCCACAGCAAGCAGTTGCACCCTGCAGAGGAGGATGCAGAGAAGAGCTGGCTGGCAGGACAGGTTCCAGTCTGTACGGGACACACACTAGGGAAGGCCTAGGAGAAGGGCTGGGGCTGGGCACAGGGGAGAGTCAGCTCTCAAGGAAGCCTGGGTTGGGGACAGGAGGATACTAGGTAAACTAAACCCCAGATGATCCCCAAATTGTGTTTGATTCTCATTTTCGCCTTCCTTTTTTAGGCCTGCTCTGTGCACTTTAGCCACAGGCTCTTTCTTCTTACAGCCTGAGAAACATGGAATAGTAAGAGAAATAAATTAATACACACAAGGCCAGCCTTAGGCAGGGAGGAGTGGAGCAGTATAAGTTCTAGAAGTACCAGACCAGGTCTTTATTGTCAAGCTTGTCTCTTAAGAGCTATTTCAACTCATGAAAAATTCAAAGCAATGTGTGCCTCAGATTCTTCCTCTGAACTGGACTTGGTGTGATCATCTTGCTGCCTGGTTCATGTGTGCCTTATGAAGTTGGACTGCTAGAATGTAAATAATTTGTTTGAGGCACCTGGTCCAGTGACTGGTATGTATTCAATCTTTGATAATTAGTATTATCACTATTCAATTTTGACCTCAAAGATCACCTATTTCACATCTTGGAATTTTTAAATTTATTTTTATCCTGGAGATGTCAAACACTATACAGCCATGTGAGATGTAACACACCAACTCAGTGATAATGCTTCTTACCAAGAATATTAAGTAACTTGCTAGGGAAAATGTTGGGGATTGTTTATAAGCAATTGAGAGAAAGTTCTGAATAGATGTATACAAGGGTCCTGTAAAAGGAGTCAAGGACTAACTTGCTCACTCTCATCAAACTGTCCATTTCTCACTTTCAGTTTGTCAATTTATATTCAAACAAATGCCCTATAAATCGTGATCTGTCTTTTTCAGCCTAAGGTAAAGCGTGCAAACACAGTGGCTTTTGAGCATCACATGTTAACGCATTATCACCCTTATTTCTCAAAGATTCCATGGCAATAGTATATACAAAATACCTACTTTGTAGACTGTGTTCACCTGCACTAGGATGAAGGTAGAGGACATATCCCATTCCTGCCTCAGGTGGAAGTTTCTCACTGGCTAATTTATGATCTTAAAGTGACTGTTGGAAGCACCTTCTCAGGTTTTGTGTCTCAACTCTGGACACAACGTCTGAGGGTCTGGCCACTGCCACCCCCAACCACAGCCTCCCTATCTGACCCTCCACCCATCTTAACATAAAATTGACTCACACCAAAAGACATGCCATTTGCTTGCCTCAGGACATTTACACATGACTGCTCACATAGAGGTCCTCCATGACCTCTCTCCATCTTTGTATTTGTCCTTAGGTCTTAGGATATATCTCACCATCTTTCTGACTTGAGAGTTCCTCCTAGACTTGACCATTGTATGGGTACAATGACTCTTTTTGATTCTGACATCTCCAGCATTAGCAAGGAGCCTCCCAAAGAGCAGAGGCTCAAAGAATGTTTGAGAAATAAATGAGTGAATGTGCAAGAGATCTAATTTATTATGATTCAATTAATTCTACATTTTGAGTAATCTAAGCACATCCAAAAATATCTCTCTTAATTTCACAGAACAACAAAATAAAAGTGACAAGAGAATGCAAACATTTATCATGTATTACTTTACTTCTGTAACCTTAATCCCAAATATTTTTCTACTAAATTCTTCCACATTTCCAAGAAAATGTCCGAGCAATACACTACTATGATTTTTTTCCAAATAACTAAATAGAGAAGATTTCCCCATTTGTTCTAGAAAATAGCAAATTTTTGCAATTTTAAAATGTAATTTTATTAGGCTAATTATTAGATGCATGCATGAGCTACCGAGGAAATTATAAATCATAGTATCTTTTCTCAAATGAGAAATGGATTTAATGAAGTTAATAATTTTTTAAATTTATTTAATTGTTGTTCAAGTATAGTTTTCTGCCTTTTACTCCCATCCCAGCCCACCACCCAATGCTCCCCACCTCCCTCCCATTTCCACCCCCCTTAGTTGTCCATGTGTCCTTTATACTAGTTCCTGTAAATGAACTTAATAATTTTTTATTTTGTTAAATTTATCTTTAATTATAGTCAACATACCAAAACAGTAAAAGTCATACTCTTAAACCTCATAAACATCAATAACTGTTTGACTTATAGATCAGTCATTAACTCAGAATATGAAGTTAGTTAAACCTTGTATTAAAAGGAGCAACATTTACACAAATATCCAAGTTACCACATACAACAGAAACACAAACATGTTATAAACTCTTATCTCTAGCCCAACCCCAACCTTTCACTAATGAGAACATTAGCTGTTCTCTTCAAGCACATAGTAAATAATCTTCCTCAGTGTTTCCTTGGGGCATAAGCTGCTGGTCATAATCTTGGAGTGTGCCCTGGCCAAGGAAGAAATGTGAGCCCTGGCTACTACTCTGGCTAGGGCTCTCTCTTCCTCATCTCTCCTTCATAATAGTGTGAGAACTCACTGGGGACGGTATCATTCATCTTGGCCATGAACTCTAGCACTTTCATCTTGCTGGTTTCAGCATGGGTTCTTGGGCCTCACAGGAACTCATAGTGTGGAGAATCACTGCCAGACACCTGGCAGCACTCCAGGTAGTTTTCTTTCACCAAATCATCTGTGATGATCTTCTTAGGTTCACCAAAGTTCTTCTTCCCAACATGCAGCCCCATTAATCACTTTCTAGACTTCCTCTTCAGGGGCACAGTTGCTCTTCATAAAGATCATGCCCAGGATAGTCATCAGCAAAGCGGTCTTGGGCACACCTCTGTATTCTCTTGAATCATAGCTTAGCTCCAGTTTGTTGATGAAGATATAGGTATTCTTGTTAGAATACACTTCCTTGATGTCAAGCACTGGATGACCAGCTCCAAGTGCTCAGAAGCTCTCCTGAGGATCTTATGGAAGTGATGCTTGTACACTTGAACTGCATTTTTCAGCATATCCACCTTGGTAATGGGCTCTTTTCTTTGACATTTATACAGTAGGTAGTACACAAACACAACCACCCCTTCATCCAGAGGGTTTCTGTGGTGGGACTCAGTGATATCCTTGGCATGTAAGGCATTTGGCATTTTCTCCACTTGATTGTTGGCACCTTCATTAAATATTGTGTTTGAAATGACCTCAGCATTTGTGGTGATGGAGCTGACTCCCCCAGGCACTTGAGGATTGCTGGGTGTTTCAGTTGCAGGTGAACTCTGAGAATCATCATTGAAATCAGAAGATTAGGAGGAAGGTCTCTTTTCTTCCTCTGGTACAGTGACCTGGGCACCCACTAGATCTCTGGACTTCTCTTGGGCTTTGTGGCATTTCTCATGAGCACAAAACGTATTCTTCTGTCCCTGAGGCATGATGACACTGGTCAGGTTTAGCAAGCAGGAGTGTGAGAAAGATGACCTGGAGGAAAGAGGATAAAATTGTGTTATGCCTTTAGCAGGGAGATACAACCTGGGGCCTTATCAAAAGCTATCTCTGCAGGTTGACTTGAGGACACTGTTCTAGGAACTCATGATGCTGCACTCATCTCCAAGCTACCTTTCTCCTGAGGAGTCTGTGAGGGTAACTAGGGTTTACCTTAGGCTGCAGCTTTCCAGCCCTACCTGGCTCTTACTGTAGCTGATACAAGGTCAGACAAGTCTGGGCCCTGTGGAGCCTCCTATGTTCTTGAGTAGTAGATGTTTCTTTCTGTTCACTTTCAGAGCCATTACCTGTACTTCTGACAGGATTTGAGGTGTCTTCTCTACTGAATTGCTTTGATTCTGACTCCTTATTCCAATGCCCTCACCTCCATAACATTATGGGTGAGGAGCTGAGGTGGGAATCTTATCTGAGCACACCAACAGGAGTATACCACGGGATGACAGCAATAGCAGAGCTCTGTAGGACCATCTGCATCCTGGGATGATCAGGGTTCTCACTCCTCACTCAAGTGTCCTCACCATTTCTTTTTTGCACAGCCTTGGGCTGTACCCTTAGCTGACCTTAGACTTAATCTTCTTGGAGCAAGGCCCTCATATTCACGAAAGTCTGCAGAGAAGTTTGGGAAGGCCTCAGTTTTACATATCTTCCCCATGCGCCTCCTGTCCCCAGGAATAGTATGACAGGTAAAGCTCTTTGAAATACCTTTTGTTCTTTGATGAGCTGGTCCCTCAATCCTTAGATTGCTTTTGTGGCTCCTTCCCTTGACTGCCTGATATCCTTCCTTCTGCAGACTTGAGGATTGTAGCAATCAGACCAAGGATTTCTCCACCTGATACTCTGGAATATGTGGGGGTGGAGGGAGTAGATTCAAGGATAGCAGATCTCTCCAGGACTTCTCACAGAGGAAGAATGTGACTCTGTATACCCTTCTCAATGCTTACTTTGACATCTAAAAGGGCCAAAGTCACATCCTTCTAATTGGATCCTCCTCTGTGACTGCTGAGGACAAAGTGAGGAAATCTTACCCTGAAAGCTCTGCTATGGGGTCACCAGGGCTTATGGCAGGAAGTGTAATCTCTAGGGTTCCCTTTGTCCTGAATGAGGAATTTCTTCGGTAGTTTCTCAAGGTTCTGAACTAAACTCAAAGTCACCCTGGGACTCTTCCCTCTGCTAACCTGAATTGTCTGGCTTACACCAAAGCTTTTATGCACCCATTTCCTCACATACATCTGCCACCACCAAAGCTGAAATGTGGGGCATATGGGCCTTATTGACATGCCAAGGGTCACCCAGGGCTCACATCAAGGGCTAGACTCTGTTGGGGAAGAGTTTTCCCCCAAACCCAAAGAGGGTCATTCACTAACTCCTGGCAGTGCCTGACTTGAGGCAGACACCTTGGTGAAAATCCTCCTCAACTCTTAGAGCTGCCATTCAAGTAAGTCAGGTGTGCTAGTTTAAGCCAACTACCCCTGCCCTGCTGCCAGGGTCTCCCAAAGCTGAAGGCAGGGGCCAGGCTCCCTAGAGCTTCCTCAATTATGGGGGATGCAAGAACTGTGGCCTGAGGACAACTGGTCAAATATCCTCCTCACCTACTGGAGGCATCAGCCAAGGAAGTCAGGTGTGCTGCTTAAAAGCCACCTCCACCTGGAGTCTCCCAGCCTGGTGGAAGGTGCAGGCTCTGTGCTGTTTCCATTTCCTGTACTATCTGAGAGGGGAGCTCTGCATACCAAACTCCCTTATGATCCTTCACTGACTCCCAAAATGACCTGGAATCCCTGTTGTCTTGATGACAACTTCCTGGTCCAATACTATTAATTGCCTGAGTTCCCTGAAGGAGAGTTCTGAGGTCATTGTATTAGGCCATCCCTGCATAGAAGCTTCTAGAGTTGACCGTGGGGCAGGACTGTGCGGTTGTCCCTTGGAATAAGAAGTGCCCCAAACTTATTGATTATTCTTACTTTACCGGCTGCGGAAACTGGATTCCTCTCTCTGGTGACCAGATGCGTGCCATCTCATTTGTGATCTCCTATGCAACAGATGGTTAAGGTAGAAGTAAGTGTGCCACACATCCCTCTCCAGCTTCCCCAGAAAACCCTGTGAGCATAATGCTGTGGTACCCCCATATTCTGTTGTGGGTTTATCTTTGTGTGGGATCTCCCAGGGCTCATACAAGGGGTCTAATCTCAGGCACTCTTTGTGCCATGGGGGAGGGGAGAAGCCTAGTCTGAGACAGGCACCTGGTCAAATATCCTCCTCACCTCCTGGAACCACCAGTCAGGGAAGTCAGGTGTATGCATCACTCAAAGCCACCTGCGTACACCTGGAGTCTCCCAGGGCTGATGGCAGGTGCCGGGCTCCCTGGGGTTTTCTTTGGGCTTTGGATTGGGCCTTCCCTGTGTGGAACCTTCTAGTGCTGACACTTGGGCAGGACCATGAGGCTGATGGAGGGCTCAGGCTCCATGAGTTTTCTCTGCTTTGGAGAAGGGGGTGGAGCATCATCTGAGGCTGACACCCTGGTCTGCCAACAGCTGAATAGGTAAACAAACTGTGGTGTTTATATACCATGGAACACTATTCAGAAGTAAAAAGAATGGACTTCCGCCAAGATGGAGACATAGGTGGATGTGCCGTGCCTTCTCACACAACCAAGTTTAGAGACAACTAAATATTAGCAACAGAAAACACAGCCAGAACATGGAAAATTGAACTTTTCGGAAGTCGGTTAACAATAAATTCTTCAGCCTGACCGGTAAGGGGCGAAACCAGCGGCTGGTGAAGTGGGGTTGCACAGGAGGACTCGGTCAGATAGACTCAGGTGCGCAGAATCCAGAGGTGCGGAATCCAGGCGCAGGGTTGGACCTAGTGAGCAACCCAGCGAGCAACCAGACGAGCGACCACGGGGGAGACAGCGGGGGAGCAGTGCTGCGTGTTGACTGTGGTCGCGCATTTGTGCGCGGGTGGACAGGCGAGGGAGTGGGCGGTTGGACGGGGCGGGGACCCGCCACAGGTCCCCGCGGTGTGCGGCAGTGGAGGGCACCACCATTTCCCTCCTCTGACCCCGCCTCCACATACAGCGTCATAACCCAGCGACTCTGAGTGGCCCGGCCCAGGTGAACCACATAAGCCTCTGCTCCTCACCCAGCTGTGAGAAACAACAGAGGGGGTCGCCATTTCCCCGCTCTGACCACGCCTCCACATGCAGCACGGTCAGAGCGGGGAAATGGCAACCCCCTCTGCAACCTGGGAGTCCAAGGTGCCGCTTCTCACACTTAAAGGGCCCGAACAGACCAAAAATGTCACAAGAAGATCTCAAAGCCCCAGAGCCCATAGATCTAAGCGATGAAGAAATAGCAAAACTCTCAGATGCACAGTTTAAAACACTGGTCAGCAGGATCCTCACAGAACTGGTTGATTATAGCCACAAATTAGACAAATATATGAAGGTGAAACTAATTGAAATGAATGGAATTGCACAGGACACCAATAGCAATGAAAAGGAAACTGGGACTCAAATCAATGGAGTGGGCCAGAAGAAAGCAAATAATGGCCAAACAGAAAAGAGTCAAGAAGCAAGAATTCAAAGAAATGAGGAGAGTCTTAGGAACCTCCAGGACATCTTTAAGCGCTCCAACATCTGAATTATAGGGGTACCAGAAGGGGGAAAGGCACAGCCACCAGTGGAAAACTTATTTGAACAAATAATAAAGGAGAATTTCCCCAATCTGGCAGAGGAAATAGACTTCCAGGAAATCCAGGAAGCTCAGAGAGTCCCAAAGAAGTTGGACCCAAGAAGAAACACACCAAGGCACATCATCATTACATTAGCCAAGATTAAAATGAAGGAGAGAATCCTAGAAGCAGCAAGAGCTAAGGGGACAGTCACCTACAAAGGAGTCCCCATCAGACTGTCAGTTGATTTCTCAAAAGAGACCTTACAGGCAAGAAGGGGCTGGAAAGAGGTATTCCAAGTCATGAAATCCAAAGACCTACAACCAAGATTGCTTTATCCAGCAAAACTTTCATTTAGAATGGAAGGACAGATAAGGTGCTTCTCAGATAAGATCAAATTCAAGGAGTTCATCATCACCAAGCCCTTATTATATGAAATGTTAAAGGGACTTATCTAAGAAAACGAAGTTAAAAAAAAAACAAACATGAACAGTGAAAGGACAACAAACTCACAGTTATGAACAAGAACACCTAAAACAAAACTAAAAGGACAGCTAGATCAGGAGTGGAAACATAGAAATGAAGATCTCAAGGAAGGTTAGCAATAGGGGAGTGGGAAGAGGAGAAGGGGGGAGAAGGTACAGAAAATAAGTAGCATAGACAGTAGATAGAAAATAGAAGGGGGGGCAAGAATAGCATGGGAAATATAGAATCTGAAGGACTTGAGACACATGGTCATAAACTAAAGGGGGGTAATGGTGGGTATGGGGGGGTAGGGTGGAGGGGGATGAAAGGGGGAATAGAACAACTGTAACAGCATAATCAATAAAAAAAATTTAAAAAAAGTAAAAAGAATGTACTCTTGACACAAGCTATAACATGCAAGAATCCCTAAATAATTATTTTATGTGAAATAAGCAAAAGAAAACAGCACACACTGTATGATTCCCCCATTTATGTAAAATTCTAGGATATGTAAACTAATGTATAGTGATGTTATGAATGCCATTCTATTGTTGTCTGGGAGTGATGTTAAAGAGATTCAAAGGAACCTGAGGAACCTTTTGGGGGTGATGGAATATTCATTATGTTGAATTTAGTGGTGGTTATATGAAAGTATACATACTACAAATTTTTTCAAATGTGTCCTTTAAGGTATGCAGTTTATTGTATATAATTTATAACTTAATAAAACTGTTAAAGATTCTAGAACAAGCCAATCTAATCTGTAGTTCAAAATGGCACACTGTGGAAAGGAGCAATGTGGAGGCAGTGTATTGGAATTGTCCTGGAAAAGCACAACTAATCTTTGTGAGGTGGTAAAATGATGCTATATATTGACAGGGGATGGGCTACACATACGTATTCATTAGTACACTTGTTTTGTGAATATGATTTATGAATATCATATAATAATGAGAGTCCAAATATGATTCAGAATAGAACAAATAAACTATAAAGAAGCACGAGTATCTAATTTTCACTGATAATGCTTCATCATCCTCTTTTTGAAATTTATTGATAAAACATAAGTCAACTATTACATAATCCTTCTTAGCTTTGCATTTCACATGGCTGTAATAGTGTTGTAGATATATTCTTCAACTGATTTTTTTTCAGCAGTGTTATATATATTTTTTTCTTTTTCTCAGACATTTTAGGGCTCAGCCTACTCTTTATTTAGAATGAATTCCTAATATTTATTGGTGATAACTGACCCAATTCCAAATGTTGCAGTAAGAAAAATAACAAGGTAATAGTGCTTTGTACTTAAGGCTAAATAAGTTCTAGATGATTAATTTTTTGAGCCAGAAATGTTTTTTTAAAGTAGTTAGTTTAACCTTATACAGTGTTGCTAATAAGTATTTTTTATTATCATAATGGAAGTGCATTACTGTATAATTTCCTTTAAACTGTGGAAAATAGTAAGTTATGTTAAACTAAAGTTATGTTAAACTAATGTATATGTGGCCTGAATGCACA